GCTTTTCTAAAATATAAGCTCCTATTCAAAATGGGTGGTACACCAGGACTGCTGTAACAAAATACTTGAGACTGGGTCATTTAGAAAGAGTAGAAATTGCTGGGCACCGTGGCTCACGCCTGTAATCCTAGCTACTCTGGAGAATGAGATATGAAGATTGCGGTTCAAAGCCAGCCCTGGCAGAAAAGTCCGTGAGACTCTGATCTCCAATAAACCACTAGAAAACCAGAAGTAGTGTTGTGACTCAAGAGGTAGAGCGCTGGACTTGAGCTGAAGACCACAGGGATAGCGCCCAGGCCCAGAGTTCAAGCCCCACGACCAAAAAAAGAAAGAAAGAAAGAAAGAAAGAAAGAAAGAAAGAAAGAAAGAAAGAAAGAAAGAAAGAAAGAAAGAAAGAAAGAAAGAAAGAAGTAGAAATTGATTTCTCACATTTCTGGGGGCTGGAAAATCCAAGATCATGGTACTAGGAGATTTGGAACCTGATGGGGGCCTGGGCCTGTTCCTCACAGATGATGTGTTTTCCGGTTGCTGTTATAGCTACTTAAAAACTGCTTTTCCTGCCGGTGGCTCAAGCATGTGCTCCTAGCTACTTAGGAGGTTGAAATCTGAGCATCGGGGTTTGATATTGGCCAGGGCAGAAAAGTCTGTGAGACTCTTTTTTTTTGGGGGGGGGCGGTCGTGGGGCTTGAACTCTGGGCCTGCGTGCTGTCCCTCAGCTCTTCAGCTCAAGATTAGCACTCTACCACTTGAGCCACAGCGCCACTTCTGGCTTTTTTTTTTTTTTTTTCTGCTTATGTGGTGCTGAGGAATGGAACCCAGGGCCTCATGCATGCAAGGCAAGCACTCTACCACTGAGCCACCTTCCCAGCCCCTGTGAGACTCTTATCTCCAATAAACTACTTAGAAAAAGCCAGAAGGGGTGCTGTGGCTCAAGTGAGAGAGTGCTAGCCTTGAGCACAAAAAGGGTCAGGGACAGTGCTCAGGCCCTGAGTTTAAGCTCCAGGACCGACAAAAACAAACCAAAAATCTGCTTTTACCAAAAAACATTGACTCCTTATTTGAGCTCTTAAATTAACTAAGAGCAGGATAAAATCTTGGCATTCTTGCCTCTATTTGAATCTGTGATCTTTGTTCTAAATTGTTCAACTTACAGCCACCTGAGAATACAGAAAGGACAGGACTCTTGACAGATAACAATTTTTGCGGAGGAGTAGAGGAAAACACCTCCAGGAAAGGAACAGCAGAGTTTTCCTCTAGATAGAGCACTACCCTTACCCTACCCAAGGGCAAGATGACGTGTTTATCCACTAGATCATTCTCTTCAAAGGATGATACCAATACTTTCTAAGGAAACTCTCAGTAATGATCAACCAACCATACTTTAACCAAGACAGTTGAATAATTGTATGTATCTCTCTACTCCTTTCCCTAGTTCTTCTACTTAAACCAAAAGCTCCAGTCTGCAATTCAAAGATAACTGAAGATGAGTTGAAGTGCTTACTTTTTCTCCACCTGCCTTGTGTCCTGGCTGCTGCCTAATACATCTCCTTTCTGACCATTACCATAACTTTTCTCTGAATTTGGAGTGTTGAGATGAGTGGCAGGACCTGATAGGTAGACCCCATAGCATTTGAGCACACACATACGTACACACACATAATAGAAGCCTTGGCAAGGTTGGGGGGAAGGGGTGCAGGCCCTGGGGCTTGAACTCAGGGCCTGAGCTTTTTTGCTCAAGGGTAAGTGCTCTACCACTTGAGCAACTCCCAGATTTTTGTGGTTAACTGGAGATGTAAGACTCACATACTTTGAACCATGATCTTCAGATCTCATCCTCAGGATATAGATGTGAACCACCAGCACCTGGCTATAAATCCTATTCTATTTTGGAAGCAAAGAGATTGAAAGCAAGGAGGATGACTCCACAAGTGGATGGCAGTGCTATTTATACAGTTAAGACCATGAGACCAACAAGTGCTGGGGACTAAGAAGGAGGAGTTAAAATCCAGGGATTTGCCATTTCCCATAGAAACCTAAATGACTAGAGATTTCCATACCTGTCTGCATGACTCGATAAATAAGTACACATTGGGGAGTATACAACTCAGGGAGGGCACAGGGTATGTACAGTACAAAGAAAAAAACACATCTCCCTATACATATACTACTACTGATTTTTGTATGTTTTAATAATGATTAAATTGTAAATATACATATAAACACATTATATAATATATATGCTTTATTTCACAGGTATACAGTCCTTACCTTACACCAAGAATGTGCTTTACAAATATTAATTCATTTCATCTTCTTAATGATTCTGTGAGGAACATAATATTTACTAATCCTATTTTACGAAAGAAGAACGTAGTATTTGAGTGTGTTGATAGTTGGAGGCAAAGCCAAGATTTTGAGTAGTCATTCTGGCTCACCACCTATGTACTTCTGATTTTTTGTAGTCTGGTATTTGAACTCAGTCTTTGGCTTGCTAGTAGTGTGTATTGTAAAGTAAATAAGTGTGTTGGTGGAGGGAGGGTGATGTTTTTACTGATGGGATGAGTGATTAAGAATGTTCAGTGCCTATTATTGTAGACTAGACCTTAGAAGACCAATTAGACCATAGCAATTCCCAATTTTCAGATTTAAAGGGATCTTAGCATTTAGCCCAGCCCCTTTTCACTGATAAATATTTCGATGCATGTGAGAGTAACGAGGCTAAATGAAAAGCCCTGGCAACACCTGCATCTGTCTAGATAGAGCTCCAATACATGTATAGAGACAGTGTGTGATGGTGATCCTTTGCCTATTTAAAAAAAATGGCTCATCTTTGTTAAGTTTGTTCTAGTTAATGAAAACCTTGGTTTCAGAGACACTGGAAAGGAGAAGATGGGAAGTGGAAAGTCTGGAGAATTCCAAATAGAAGAGCAGATGGAAAAGGAGCTGAGCTCAGACCTGCCCATCTATGTGTGCTTGTTTGGTGGTGGCTCCAATTTAACAGCCAAGGTGAGTGAAACATGCACCACACACACACCCTCCAATAATAAAACAAAGGAGATACAGGACTTACTAAACACTATTTCCACCCCGCCCCATTCCTCAGGATCCCAAATACCTTTGCTATCACACACACGGTACCACACCTGCGCTCTGCACCTGCGCTCAGCTCACAGGCGCTGGGAGGCAAACCGGGGAGGACAAGTTTAACTAACCCCGGGTTTCAGATTCTAGGCAAGTGGGGAGAGTTCTGGAAAGATCCGTCCTGAAGCATGCACTCATGGGGAGCCAGTGGATGGGTGGGCGTAGTGACCGCGAATTTCCCCAGCACCCCGCGTTTTGGAGGCTTCGGGGAGAGTAAATGGGAGGCGTGGCCGCACTGGTGGGGACCCGCAAACCATTGTCTGCACCGACGCCTCTGGGCATCCAAGTCCAGTCTGGCTTTTCCGCCCTGAATCCCCAGCGGAGGCCTGCAGGGGGGTGGAAGGAAAGGGGGGGTTTCCTTTCATTCTTACAACCTCCATGAGAACTTCTTACACAGCTTAACAGTACTTTCCAGAGGCTTCTCCTGACCAGACAAGTCAGGCCTGGCGACCACGCGCGCCCCTAAATCGCTCGGCACGCGACTCGGCAGCGCAGCGGAGGGGAAAGGCTCCGCCTCGGACGGCCCCCCCGTGGGTGTGGCCTCCGGGGAGGCCCCGCCCCCGGGCGCGTCTCGCGGGACGAGAGGGCGGGGCGAGGAAACCAGGAAGAAAGGCGAGTGGCGAGGAGGGCGGGTGTCCTCGTGCGCGCGCACCCGCGCCTAGCGTGTGGGCGGGGGCGCGCTTGTGCGCGCGCAGGCGAAGCCCGCCCAGACGGCCGTTGTGGGGTTTCTCGGGAGGGGCGGGGGAGTCACCTGCGAGCTTCGGCGCCTGCCGGCTGCTCGCCCGCCGGCTGCTCGCCCGCCTGCCGCGTCTAGGCGGTGCGGACTGCGCGGGGCTGCGGGCCGCACACGCCCGGAAAGGCCGGGGCTGGGAGCGAGCCAAGAGTCTGCGCCCGGAGTCGGCTACGAGGAAGAGTCGGACGTTCGCCGCCGCCGCCGCTGCCCGCGCCCAGCTCGGGAAGGTGAGGTCGGGGTCGGGGACCCGCCGAGGACCGGCAGTCTGGGACGAGAGAAGCGAAAGTTTGCGGGCGGAGCGCTGCCTCCCGCGGGCCCGGGGCGGTCCCGCCGCGCGGGGAGGCGTCTTGGTCGCGGGCGGCGGCGGCGGCGGACGCCATGTTGGGGGCTGTGAGAACCGGGGCGCTCCCGGGTCGCTCCCCGGAGGCTGGGGCCGCACGCCGCCGCCGTCCCGTCACGCGCGGCCGCGGCCGCCGACAGGGCCGGGGGTCGGCCGGGAGACGCAGGGCTGCGGGTCTGCGTGTGGGGGCGCGCTGCAGCGGTACGGGTCGGGGATGTGCGCCGGGGCCCGGGGGAAATAGTGGGTCTGAGGACTGCGGAGCCCCCGCGTTCTGTGTGCGAAAAGTTTGCCGGCTGTGCGCGTCCGGAGCGACGCGGTCGCGGGAGGGGAGAGCGGCCCCGCAGGCGCCGGCAGGGACCGTGGCTGTTAGGGGTGGTTGGTGGGTTTGACTTTGGCCAAGTTTTTCGTCTGACACTGTTGCGAAGCCCGAGCTCGCGGCCGCCGTGCGCCGGGAAGGTTACCCCAAAACAAAAGCCCCGCTTCCCAGCCATCGGACCCGAAAAGTACGCTTTAAAACTACCAAGTGCCCTCTGCAGTATGTGTTACCACGTCGCTGTAGAGACTCGCATTAGAGAGACGCAGACGCTGAGCAGTTTAACAGGCGTGTGGTGGTCTCCGAAGGAGGAGGCCAAGCGAGCTTGACACTTGTGGGCTTCTCCCCCTCCCTTCGGTTCTCGTGTACCCTGTTTTGAGCGCTTACCGTTTTCTGTGCTCCAGGAAGCTTATGGGGTCCTCAGGTCAATTCGGTATTAACAAAGGCTTCTATTTTTAATCTCTTTAGGTCATGACAGCACCGAGAGGTGAATAGTATTAAATTACTTACTCGGAAAGCACATGTAATCGCCTCAAAAAAGGGAAGTGTGCGGACTAAGCCATCAAAAGTAAGCATTCTGCATGAATTACCCCAGTAAGTGAAGGAAAAAATACTTTTATAAAGACAGCTTTAAAGTTTTGTTAAATGAACCGAAGGACTCTTCTTGACTGCAAATACAGTAAACCCTAAAACATGTCTTGGGGAATTTCTCCTTAATCTTCAATAGCTAAACATACATTCTGCTTGAATTTAATGATTGCTAATTTCCTTAGTTCTTCAGAATCTTTTTTTGTTGTTTGTCATATGTGTGTACATATGTACACACACACAATTTTTTGAGGACTAAATTTAGAAATGAGTTGTCTTAACTGATATCAGAAATCAAGGTATTTAAGTGGGGCCCTAGGACTGAAACCCTCTCATTTTTCCTCTAATGTGTCATTGTAGGATACTTAGTTTCTGTGTGCCAGTCTTTGGCCACCTTGTCTGTTCTTCTGATTGGAATATGATTTTGTAGTATAAACCCTTTTTTCCCAGAGTGTTGACTTAAAGAGGTTCTTGTATTGAAGTTTTTACTCTTAAAAATGATCACTAAAGCCTGCCCTTTCCCTTTCTCTCCTGAAATCGGCTAACTTCTTCCATAGTATCCCAGTAAATATTGCATGGATCTGTAATGGCCCATCCTTAGCGGCCGGCATCATCACATGTGGTCTGATTTGCCTGTCCATCCCTAGTAAGCTGAGAACATAGCAGATGCTCAGGAAAACAGTGTAAATGGATGGGTACACATGTTTATTCTTTTTAAATATGCTTCATGAGTTTACCGATTAAATTTTCATGGGAATGATGACTCATTTGTCTTTGTGGTATTTTCCCTAGTACATGCTATGAATTACATTAAATTGACAGATTGATTGGTCACTCTTTAGAATTTGCCTTTATATAACTCAATGAATTTTGGCCTGGGATTACATATGATTCAAGGGGTGACACTGATCAAGATGCATTGTACACTTAAATTGACTTGTTGAATTGAAATCCCTTTGTACAACTGTTTAAAAAGAGATAAAAGAATCACTGGGTTTGGGTCCAGGACACAGTTTTTTCCACCACCACCCCTACTTTTTTTTAAGAGTGTATGATTTTCATTTAATCCTTTTTTTTTTTATTTCTTTCATTTTGAGGTTCAATATGTACAAGTTGTTGCCTAGGTACCTTAGTGATAGTAGAAAAGTCGTATTTGTAGCTTAGCAAAGTGAAGTGCATAATAGATTAAGTAGCAGGTTACATTCATTTCTGAACAGAATTTTAAGTAGGGTTCACTGACTCTGATTTTTCCCCTTCCCTCTGTATCAGCCTACTTACATGTATGACTCTTTTCCTTAATCTTGTTAATATTTGGAATCATTCCAGTCTTATGTGGCCAGGTGGGTAAAGCACAGGCCAGCTCTCTATTTCTTTTTCCATCATACCTTGTGAAGCAGCTCTTTGCCCTCATTGGCCTCTCCAGTCAGTCCTCTCAGGCTGTTGCTCTTCCTTTTTCCTTAACCTTTGCTGGATTTAACTGGTTAATTCTTGTAAAGATGAGCATTTATTTTTTTATTTTTTTGTGCAGGTCCTGGGGCTGAACTAGGCCTGGTTGTTATCCCTGCGTTTTTTTTAGTCAAGGCTAGTGCTCTACAATTTGAGCCACAGCGCCACTTCTAGTTTTTTCTGAGTAGTTTATTGGAGATAAGAGTCTCATGGATTTTCCTTCCTGGGCTGGCTTTGAACCACAATCCTCAGATCTCAATCTCCTGAGTAGGTAGGATTATAGGTGTGAGCCATTGGCACCTGGCCGCTTTTACTTTTTCTACCTCTGTCCCTGGTTCTTCTTTTTTGTTGGCTTTTGGAATGAAACTATCTTATTTTTACACCGGTTTCATTTAAACCTGCTTTTGTATGTTTCATGTTTTTATTAACTGTTACGCATGTATGTACAGCCCAGTCTATATATATCTATATATCTATAGCCCAGTCTAGCCTCCAATTCAAAAACTCGGTTGCCTTCTGAGTTTTGGAATTATAAGTGTTTGATTCTCATAACCTGGCTTTGTATTTTACTTTTTACCTCTGTGCTTTTCAATAGTTTTTTTTAATACTTTTTTTTTCCATTTTGTTCCTAAATTTAAAAGCTTTCTAGACAGGTATGCTGACTCAAACCTGTAATCCTAGCTGCTTAGGCAATGGGGATTGGAAGATTATGGTTTGAAGCTAGCCCAGTCAAAGAAAAATTTATAGGACGCCATCTCAGCCAGTAGCTGAATGTACTTGAATACGTCTGTGATACCGTTGAATACGTCTGTGATACCGTTGACAAATAAGAGGGTCAAAAGCTAGGCCTGACCAGCCATAAAGTGAGACTCAAAAATAACCTAGTCAAAAAGGGGCTGGTGGAGGGGCTCAAAAGGTAGAACCTGTGCTAAGGCCCTGAGTACTGTCAAAAACCAAAAGTCTTTTTTGATCATGTGTTCATTTAAAAATAAAAAATGTCAAAATATCATTAAACTGAATATGGTAGTCTACCTCTGTAATTGTGACACTCAGAGTTTGAGGCCAGCCTTAGGTACACAGCAAGACCTTAGGTAGTTGCTATACTATTTGAGCCCTATTTGTGATTTTGTTTTTGCCATAAGGTCAGTCTGCTGGGATTACAGGTCTGTGTTATCACATTCAAATTTTTCCTTTTTTTTCATTAGTGTATATTAAATACACGAAAGAATGGGCTTAATTGTGGCATTTCCGTATGCATTTTACTTTTTGGTGTAACTCTATATAAAAACAAACAGGTTTATGCTATACATGATACTTAGGTAAAGTCAGAAACACATTCTAACCTTCATGGGGCAAGTTGTCTTTATCATGGTCTATAAAGTTTATGAGTTCTGTGAGCTTTGACAATACTGTTATTTCTTCCACATTGGGTGATATGTACATTTCTTTCCTTTTGCTTAGTGTCAAGCTGTTCCCTTCCTCCCATCGCTGCCATTGAGTTGCTTAGTTTGTTTTGATCAATGACCAGTGCAGCTGGTCCTGCTGTTGTATGTTTTCCTGTTTCCCTCTGTTTCTGTGTCCTAGTTTCCCTCTGATGTGCACATATATACCATATATGTGGTCAACAGCATGAAGTCATTTAGTAATGATTTGATCAGATGAGTGGAGGTCCTTTGTTTCTCAAGTCTTGTTTCCTTTGTCGTATCACCTTATCTTTTGGATAAGATTTTTTTATTTGATATTAAATATTTATCAATTTTCTTTCAAAAGCTGACTGAAAAATCTGTAAGTATACCATGATTTATTTAATTAGCTTTATACTGTTTTGGCTTTTTAATATTGTAGACAGAACTACAATGAAATCCATGTGAACAGCTTTTTTTTTTTTTTTTTTTGGTCTGGTCGTGGGGCCTGAACTCTGGGCCTGGGCGCTGTCCCTCAGCTCTTCAGCTCAAGGCTAGCATTCTACCACTTGAGGCACAGCGCCACTTCCGGCTTTTTTCTTTTTGTTTATGTGGTACTGAGGAATCAAACCCAGGTCTTCATGTATGAAAGGCAAGCACTCTACCACTGAGCCACCTTGCCAGCCTTCATGTGAACAGCTTTGTACACAGATCTAATTCTTTTTGGAGTATGTTCTTGGAAATAGAATTGAATTGTTGTGTAAACTTTTTAAAGTACTATTTGTCAAGGTGGCATTTAGAAAAGTTATTCCACCAGGAATAGCAGTGTCCTTTTTCTCTACATCTTGGGTGAATAAAGTATCACTTTTTATTTGGCTATTGTTACTTTGTTTATAACTGAATGTCAACATTTTCTTTTTTTTCTTTTTTTTTTTGTCAGTCCTGGGCCTTGACTCTGGGCCTGGGCACTGTCCCTCAGCTCTTCAGCTCAAGGCTAGTGCTCTATCCACTTGAGCCACAGCACCACTTCGGGCTTTTTTCTTTTTGCTTATGTGGTGCTGAGGAATCGAACTTTGGGCATGCAAGACAAGCGCTCTACCACTGAGCCACCTTCCTAGCCCCGCACTACTGCTTTTCTAATGGTTTATTGAAGAGTCTCACAGAGTTTCCTGTGTGGGCTGGCTTTGAACCGTGATCCTTAAATCTGAGCCTCCTGAGAAGCTAGGATTATATGAGCCTGTGGCTCATGCCTATATATTTCTATATATTACTCATTTTCAGGTAATTTTCAGATTTATTTTGTATGCTTTAAAAAGTTATCTTTTGTGTCTGTAATCATTTTAGTGGTTAATTGGAATTAAGTCTTCACAGATTTTCCTGCCTGAGCTTTGAACTACTATCCTCAGATCTCAGCCTCTTGAGTAGCAAGGATTACAAGCGTGAGCAACCAGTACCTAGCTTTTCTTTTCTTTTTTTCTTTTTTTTTTTGTCGGTTGTGGGGCCTGAACTCTGAGCCTGGGCACTGTCCCTCAGCTCTTCAGCTGTAGACTAGCGCTCTACCACTTGAGCCTCAGCCACACTTCTGGCTTTTTCTGCCTATGTGGTGCTGAGGAATTGAACTGAATGCCTCATGCATACGAGGCAAGCACTCTACCACTGAGCCACCTTCCCAGCCCCTTCTTTTTTTTCTTTTTGACTAGAGTTTGAACTGGAGCCTTGTGCTTGCTCTGCTTCCTTGCTTGCCTGATTGCCCTCTTGCTGGCTTGCTTGCACACTTGCTCACTCGCTTAGCTGGTACCCTACCACTTGAGCCATACCTCAAGCTTTACTTTTTCTGGTTCCTTTTGGAGATGAATTCTCTCGGGCTTTTCTGGTACGGCTGGCTTTGAACAAAATTCATGTCAAATCTTAGCTTTTGGAGTAATTAGGATTACAGGTGTAAGCCCCTGGCTCTCTGGCTGATTTCTCCTGCAGTTTTACTTAGCTTATATGTAGGAGATTTCATTGCTATCTCCTGCTTTTTAAAAGAGGTGTTACTGGGGCTGGGAAGGTGGCTCAGTGGTA